ACGCGTCCGCCAATAGAGTTGGAAGAGTCGAGGAGGAGGAAGGGGACGGAGGAGGAGTAGAGGTGGGTGGCTGCGGTGAGGCCGGCGCCTTGATGATGGCAGTGGGAGCAGATGAGGACGAGGAAGGAGAGGGGACGACTTGCGGGAGGAGGGAGAGACAACGTGAGTAGTGGTCAAAATGACAGACATGTGAGTGAGGAGAGATAGAGATCGACAGGTGGTGAGGAGAGAGATAGGGATTGCACGGGACTAGTAGTACTGTGCAGGTCGATTTTGCTGATTTTTTTTAAAATGGTCAATTTTGCCTATTAATGTTACAAAACGGTTGATTTTAAAAATTTGTCCAAGAAAAAAAGTAAGACGGAACGATCAGAAAAATTACCAGAAAGTGTAAACCAGTTCAGACAGAGAAAATTGCTGACTAACCTGTCAATCAAGTCTTTGGCCTCATATGACATATCATCAGGAACACGTGGCCAAGGAATCTTCCTGTTCAAAATGTTGTCAAAGATCATCTGCCCACATGAAATAGAAAAAATTTAGTCACAGAATAATATTCCATCCCTGCATTGATCATGCACATTATGCAACCATATCCAAAAGTCCCAGTATAATAACATGAATTCCCTAAAGAAATAAGGAAAAAAAGACCAAAGTGTTATTTGGTTCATTGCAACTCTAATTGCATTGCAAGTGCACAGTAATGACCACAACTTTCTGTGACATGCAGATATAGTTGCAATTGCTTGGTTCAATTTTAAAATTTTATAATTTGTAATCACAGTGGCAGTCACAAAAGTTTGTTTTAGGTATCAAGGTTTTTTGACTTCTTTATGGAGTTGGTTACGATTACAACTTACATCTAACTAAGTCAGTCATTGTGGTAATAGGCTTTTTCCAACTGTGGGTGTAACTCCATTTAGTAATCATAATGAACCTAACAACCCCTTAGACTGTAGTTGCATACAGTTGTAGTGAACCAAACAGCTCTTAAACTGACATGAAATACAACTGATAGTGAGGAAGACATTGGCAACTATTTCGCAGGGAGCTTGTTCAAGAAACCACTATTATTGTAAAACCATATTCATATTTAAGATTAATGTCTGAGTTTCTTTCTATTATTTTTTTCTTGAATATTGATTGCTAATTTAATACAGACCTTAAATCTAATTACAAAAAATAGATATACCTAGGGAGACTTAAAGAATGCACAACACAAGAATCAAGAATAAATAAAGCAATAATTTTTTTAAAGGATAAGCTCTGTGACATATCCTTAAAAATGAAATATACATAATAAGGGGACCTTTTATCCCATAGGCCGTTGACCTCAAAGGTGCTAGAGTCAAACAACAGCCAATAGTTTGATGATTAACAAACCATTAAGATACTAACATTACATGGAGTTGTTCTTATGCTTAATAGGCCACATTACATCAAACTAACCACATAACGATAAAATGGAGTCAAATGGATTTTACAATATCAAATTCCATATCATTTGAAGCATACTTAAGAGCTTGGCCTGAGAGCAAATCACAAGTTTTTACACGGGATAAAATTATTTGAAGGTAAAATAGTAAGTTAAAAGTCTATCTTGGTACATATTGTCTAACTCCAAATTCCAGTTAACCTCTATTTTATTCATTTAAGCAAATACCTATATTAGATATTGATCAAATATGACAGCACATTAGTTTATTAGCACGACCACTTGTTGAGTAAACAAAGTAGTTGATCACGCCCTATATGGTATCCACATCCATCACTGCTTCAACTATATAAGCCATACTCTTTGTGGATCATATATTGAACTCATATTCATCTTTGTTATATTGATTATCTTTTTCTAGTTAATGAATACAAGAATTTATTTGATACATACTAGCTAAACCGTACGTGCATAATGCACATGTCAAAAAATAACAACGGATGTAGTTTCGAGAAAGTTAATAAAAAATATTTTATCAAAAAATAAATAATATTAGGAGAAATAGAAATATCTAAAAAGAGAATATGAGGGTGTTTGTGGGAGCTTTTTTTTTGTCAAAGTAGCTTATAAATTTGATTTTTCATATGTTGGTGTTTGGTAACATTTTATATAAGCTAGCTTTTAAGGCCATTTAAAAAAGTTGGGGGTTCCCAAACTTTTGAAAAACTATCTTATAAGTTCATCTAAATAAGCTAAGTTTGACCAAACAAATGACAATTTTTACCCAAACACTTTATAAATTTTTTATCATAAAAGCCTTCAGACACCAAAAACCAGATTAGCTTATAAGCTTCAAAAATAAGCCTTCCAAACACCCTCTATATCATTTTTCGAAGCGATGGATAAATATTGACTTTGACACAATATTATTTCCATATAATTTAGGCGTATTTATTCATGTACATATTAACGTGTTATTTATTTTACTTATTTAAGTAGTGAGTTGAATTTTGTATTTTTTTCCTCTTCTGTATATCATTCTAATTATCATTGATTTGAGTGTAAAATATTTCATTCTGTCAATTTTCTATTACTCTTCTGCAATCGAAATCATCAATAATAATTATTTAATTTTCATAATCCAAATTTTAAAATAAATAGAAGTATTTTAGTAATTTAAATTCATCAAAATGTTTACATCTCTAATATTAACGACATTATTTATAATTTGTTTGTAAATTTCAATTGTTTGCAACATAGTCATAGGAGGATGTATTATTATTATTATTATTATTTGATAATGAAAAGGAGCATTTAATAAGGGGAGAATGAAAAAATGTCCAATTCTTTCAAAATGACCAAATTGCCCTAAACGCTCAAAGAAATTCTCTACAAATGAAACTATAGGAGGAACTTCCTCCCATTCCTCCACACCAACCAACCCTCACTTCCTTTCTGATATAGGAGTAGAGATTTTAAATATCCAAATCCATCTCAGTTTCATATTTAATAAGGGAGGAAATGAAAAAATGTTCATTCTTTCAAAATGACCAATTTGCCTAAACACTGAAAGAAATTATTTGCAAATAAAACTATGGGAGGAGGAATTTCCTCCCATTCCTTCATACCTATCTACCCTCACTTCCTTTTTTGTATGGGAATATAAATTCTAAATATCCAAATCTATCTCATCTTTATAGGTATGAGCCTATATTCACGTCGATCCTATTTAAGCTCATATATTTGATTATTTACTATGCTTATTTGAAGAATGCACGTTCTTAGTTCATAGCTATTTTTGTATATTTAAAATTACTTACGAACCCCTCTATATTTTCGAGATGCATTATTGGACTGAGTACAGTTGACAGATGGATCAACAGATAGAGTAGCCCTAACATGTCAATTGACATTGTTCCAAATTCATATCAATTGAATTAAAATTCAAATGGAATGATAGAAACGTACAACAAAATTCAAATTTACTTGGAATCCATAATTCAATTAGTTTGGCAGCACATAGGCCGTGCACCCCAACAATCAAGTTCGATCACTGGATTAAGGAAGCAAGTTGGCCAACAGGAACTCTAGATTCAAATTCTCAATTGGCACAAACCCAAACATCTGTACGGATTCAAGTAGCCTACTAACTAGCCAGGTCAAGCCCCGTTGACTTTTTTTATTTCTCTAATTCTTCCTCACTAATTTACACTTTATTAATAATCCTTCCATCTTCTAATCTAACTAGTCTGCCACAATTTTACAAGAGTACATCCTACCTTTGTATTGCATAAATATACATAAAGTGCTCAGGATTGAAATGAAAGAATGAAATCTTGTGCTAAGTATTCTCTCTAGTTCATTTTGATCCGAGAAAGCGTTCATCAGTTCTATCGTTCTAGGTTCCCAATCTCCTCTAGATCAAGTCTTCAAGCAATTGTACAGTCTACATTTTTGCCTAGTGTGCCCAGCAAAGTGCTCTCATTATTATCTACTATTAGTCTATTACTGCCTCATTTGCAATCTATTGCAATAGAAGAATTCATTTTTTATGCTCCATCATGCTTCTCTTTCCTATTATAAATCATTCCTAGTGGCATTGTACACAATCCAGAGAATCTGGGAGAGTAACTCGGTAGATGTGATATACGAAACTTAGAGAAATGATTGTTGCAGAAATCCAAATAATTATGTGGAGTGGATTGGCCATGGTACAAGTCTACCATCGACCCTGGAAGCAAACCAAGAAAAACATGCTCAAAAACCTAACATAGAGGTACTCAGTTAGTGGATGTAGTGCTGAAGCAACCAACTATTATTTTCCTCTCTACCTCTTTCCTCTTAAATTGCTTGCTTTATTTGTGAACACGTGTAGCATTATGTTGCATGCACTCAACGGGCTATTAACATCATTTGCATCAGACCTATTTACACACTCTAAGGTTGCCATGTTGACATATAAAGTTTAAGGCATCATTTTTCTCAGCCTCTCTTACTTTTTTTACTTCCTCTCTGTTGTCTCTCTTCTTTTTTCTTTGGCATATTAGAGGATAAGTAGAGAAGATGGACGTGGCAGTACAGAACACACTAAAGGTGGATGACGACAGGTTTAAAAGTAATGGTAAAGCAAATATGTGATACAATGGGTAAATACAAACAAAAAGGATTCGTTCCAGAACTTTTGATATGGTTAATTAAACATAGTTAAATCTGTCTCAACCCATATACTTTGACCTGTTGAGGTATCTTCCTTGGACCCACAGGACCCAAATGGAGTCTGGTTACCACCTTTTACCATAAGGAACTGATCTAGATCCTGAGATATCTTTATCCTTCTACTTTTCCTGGTCTTCTTGGCTGGAAACTACAATTGGCTGGTGGGCACGGTTAGGCTTTCTAGACAGTTTAGGCTCCTGGCTAAATCACTGATCACATTGAGCAGAGAAAAAGAGATGCTCTTTTATGTGTTGTGAAGAAAAATTGAATACAAAGGTTTTCAGTGTAGATCACTGGCTGAAAGGTGTCAGATGCAGAGGATCCTTACATTAAATCACGTTCATTACATCTCCTTATAGTTAATCATGTTCATTACATCTCATCCACCAGGTAGTTCTGAGCTTTGCAGCTATCCAACAAATGAAAACTTCAACTCAGATCAAAGTGAGTGGGAGCGCGCGCAACACAATACTATAATGATAAGATCAAATAATTATTTCACTGTTTTCTGAGGTCTGGCTCTCGACTATAATTCATCTTGGATTAACAATATACTCAAGTAACACCGACAGTAAAGCCTTTATCGCATTTAATTACGGGCAGCGACCTGAATAACTTTTTACCACTCAAAAAGATCCGCTGAAAGCCATCTCCCCTCTTAACTGTTTAGCAGATATCCATACTTCTTCAAATACGTGCTCATTTTGATCTATCCTTAGACCCAGGCTTGACAATGTAATATTCATGAATCCATTTCATCCTCTGTGTTTGGCATTTCAAGTTTAAAGGAAACCAAAGAAGATTAATATTGGAAAACAAGCGAACGAAAAAAATGGAAAAAGAGAACTTGAGGTAAACAAAAGTTACAAAATCCAAAGAAAGGAGAAAGAAACATGAATGAGAAAGAGAACTACATTTTTTTTAAGGCTAAACAAGTCCCTGGATCTTGCCTTGTTTATGTAATCAGGTCTTGGTGGCTAAGTTAAATTCAAGCTAGCTAAATGTATTCTGCTGATAGAATATAACCAGTTGCTAGCTGATTATATATACATTCTCAAGAAAACTTGTTTGTTACTCTTAAGGTCCCTTCCACTCCACTGAAACTTGTTTGGTACTCCAAGTTTTAAATATAGCAACAAAAATTCAGGTTTTCATATGGTACCTCAGGAAGCCTAGCATTAAAAGGCGGGACCCCTGTTATCAGCTCAAATAACATAATTCCGACTGACCACCAGTCTGCAGCATAACCTGCATGAATTTCAAAAAGGTAAAATTTAATTGCTCAGGAAATTCTGAGAATGCTAGAGACAGAATGTGCAAAAACCATGTGCAGTTCCAAGTAGAATCTCAGGTGCCAAATAATCAGGTGTCCCAACAGCTGAACTTTGACTCTGCTTTCCTCTCTGGTTACTTTGGTCAGATAAGCCATGCTGATTTTGGACCTTCACGAGGATAGAACCGGCCGTTCCAGATCCAGACAGGTTAATGGCGCTATCAATAAGGCCAATCTTCGATAGCCCAAAATCTGTAAGCTGTCAATAAATGGTATTGTCAAGTATTTTCCATTTACAAAAAGATAAACTAATAATTTATAGATAGCAAGTTACAAGATTTTTCTCCATAGAAGTTATGACAAAAAACTACCATAGACATGGTAACTGTTAAGAATTTCTATGATGCTCTCAAAAGGAGCATCTCAAAGAATAATGCATCAAAAACATATGATTACACACAATTGAACCATGAAAATGTCGGACCTTAATATGCCCATCATGAGCAATCAGTATGTTATCTGGCTTCAGATCACGATGTGTGATTCCCAGTGAGTGAAGATATTCTAGAGCAAGAACCTGTATAATAAAATAACCATAAGGAAAAATATGTTTGGTAACAGCCACCAACATGAATCAAGTTTTGAACACACCAGTTCAGCAATATAAACACGAGCAACGGCTTCCTCCAAGCAACCAATTTTCCTAAGCAGGGAATATAGATCACCGCCATTCAGATATTCCATGACCAAATAAAGATTGTCTCTGCAGGTAAATGAATAAAAAAACCGAACCTGCATTATAAAACCAACAACAAGAATCCTGAGAAAATAGTAATTACACGTCTTAACAAAATACCGTTTTTAAACTCAAAACAATGTTTTGAATCGCAAGATTGAAACACACAGGTGGAAGCACAAGCAAGGAATATAATTAAGAATCTGGTTAAAATTTAGCCAAGTGCATTTTAAATGACAAATGATGTGCTTGTAGTATACTTTCCTTATCAGCAGACTTCTATCAAAGGATGGCAACATGTATTCTGATTAGTTGAATAGTTAAGTTGGATAGTTGCACTAGTAGATCTTTTCATCAAAAGATGAAAAGACACACAGGTAGATGCACAGAAACGGGAGGATAATGCAGAATGAAACTGACATTTAGCTAAGTGCATTCTAGATTAGTTGGGTGCTGATATTTTTCACTTTCTATAAGACTTCCGTCTACCAATATGATTTTGCATATAGGTCAATGTTTAAAAAAGCAGAAGCACAGGCGATACATTAGAACCTTCTATGAAGCAAGGCGCATGCTTCAGAGCATGAGGCATAAATACATATGCAAATCATAATAAACTAAGCTACATCCATAAGATATGTATATTATTTCTAGTGACGCAGCCATATTGAAAACACATGACCTAAAGTTAAATTTCCTAATCAAAGGGAAAATCCTCGATAGGAAAAGAAAATGAAAAATTAGGGGCAGTTTAATTTTAGTCAAAAGTTCTTTTATATGCTCCTATGTTGTCTAAAGTGCGCGCTTCTAAAAAGAAGCACTTCATGCAACATGAAGTGCACCTTTTAATTATGTTATAAGTGATGATGCGTAGGCTTCAAGGGATAAATAGATTCACTTACGAATTTTGAAGATCCTTCAAAAAGTTTCGAAGCCAATATCAGAAAGATTTTTCAAACACTGAAATAGGTAAATTTGACAGACCCAAAAATATTAGCTCCACTTTCAAGACTGAACGTACACCAATGTTTTAAATATAGGCTGATTTTATTGATTTATACCCGATATATAGGATATGGGCTATGGCTGATACGATTTTTGCAAAAATATATCGCATATAGCTTTGAGCCGATTTTTCCCGATATATCGGTGTAAATCTGATAAAACGACCGGTTTTTCGTGGGCTAAAATAACCCAATTTTCTACAATTTACATTCTAAGTGAACTGGTTCACGTTTGGAGACAAAAAAACCTCTTTTTTCCATATTTGACCCACATACACTAAACAAAAAACAATACTATCCTATTCTATTTCGCTTCCACTGAACAAAAATAATTGGTAAGTGATCCTAAACATGTGTTATTTACATATTAGCATGTTTATGTTTAATTAAATGTGCTTAGATTACTTTTTAAGACATTATATTATATATGCTCACCATCCGATGTAACACTCCAATTTTTACTACTTATTCCAGATATATCCCGATAACTAGGATCCGATATGAATTTTGGCCATCCGATATATTTCCAATAACCGATATTTAAAACATTGACGTACACACCAACACATAACATACAAAAACATGCAAATGCAGTCACACACAAATACACACATATATCTCATAAAGGAGTAGTGAACAATGTATGTAGACCAAAAAATAACCTAAGCAAAACTCTAGGAAAAGAGACTTTGCGATTCTTCATTACGAGATCTAGAAATGTAGTTCTATAGTTCAATAAAACAATCAGTTAGAAAAATTACCACAAATGGATTTCTAACAGTAATCAAAATGTTACGCTCAGCTAGTATGCGCTCGATATCATTCTTCCGGATCATACCCAATTTCTTCAAAACCTGCATATTGCAATCATTTAAAACTCTTCTATTATCTTTGAGAGGTGAGAGAAGACAACGAACACAGCAACTTTAAACTATATGGAAAAAATAAATTAAAACCAATCCCCAGTTTAAGAAGAAAATAACAATATCGAATATAAATTTACAAAATATACATATAAGTAGAGAACTCCAAATAACAAAATGTCTAGATTCATACATAGAATAAAAAACAATGTCATGTCTATACTCTAGGACTCTATGTATCTAACGTTCAAGTAAGAAGTACCAATGAGATTCACAATTCGATGTTTCCATCTTGCAAGTGCAGTAGACACAAAAGAATTTCTAAAATGACAACAAGATCTATGTTTATGTTGAAGACCTTTGTACAGAACAATACATGACACAGGTATGCTAGATGAGAAATGCACAATTCATCATCCGTTATTGAAAAATATAAGGAAGATAAGACAAGCGTCATAGACATTTCAAATGCAATTATGCTGTCTATTGGATATTCAAATTGATTTACAAGTTGATGATAAGTCGCAAACAAATTTTTGATGTTCCAATCCACAGAATCTACAACATCTGAATGAATTTGATTAAGATATACAGGATAGATGGTTCTGTATATATTTACTTGTTAGGGTCAACCAGGAAAACCTAAATTGTAAAATCGGTGAGCAACAGCTGCAGTAGGGTAACTGTTCTTGTTATGTAGAAATTCAAAATGTGATCCTGCTGTGTGAAAAAAACAAGTCCTATTAACATAATGCATATAGCTGCATTGCAGTGTTTAAGTCCAGAAAAAAGGACTAAGCTTTCACTATATGTACCTTTATTGCAAATAGATCTCCTGTTGTCCGTTTCCTTCCAAGATAAACTTTCCCATAGGATCCTCTGCTGATTGGTTTGATGATTTCAAAATCATCAATACTAGTCCTCTCCTTATGCGAGGAACTAGGAGGTGATATTGTACTTGGTGACGAATTCTCATCAGCCATTCCTTTGATTCCATCTAGGTGAACCATATCGTCAGATGTTTTACTCATATATTCAACAGCAAGATCATATTTCTCCCTGAATTCTCAGCATGGAAGTCTTAAAAGTTAGGGTCAACTGGAAAGGTTTCATAAACATTTTACTAGATAACTCCTGCTAAACATAAACACATCACAAGGTACATGCAAAGAGGGCAAGAAGCTCACTTCAGCAAACTTTTTATGCGGCTTCCAAAAGTGTCGATCACTAGAGCCTTGATTTCGCTTTGTTGCAGAATGTCAAGTAAATCACGCCAACAAATTCCCAAGTACTCAGAGGCTCCATCTTTTGAAAGATCAGCACAAGCAACCCTATGAGCTACATCAGCCAACTCATTCATCTGCAGCAAGAAATTCCTTATAATTAAACATTAAAAAAGCTAAATGGGTAAGACTAGCATCTTTCACATTAAATAACATGTTGAAAATCAGCAAATAAGGAGCTGATACCTGGTTCCTTCATGTTACTTTGCACCTTCTACTCAAAATTTTGCCATCAAAGGTTCAACTCTAGGGAAAAGGTTGCATTCTTATTATGCAAATCATGTTTTCTTATTGATGCCAGAATGAAGTGGCGAAGGTGAATTCTTTAGTCTCTGTAGAAATTTTTATATTTCATAGAAAAATATGTAAATTTCAACATTCATTTCCATTTAATGTATTCTATTCTACACAACATCTCAATGAGAATTGCAGACACCAATATGTATTCTGCTCCCAAACAGATCTATTTGGTTTGAACAGGTAAGGACTAAGGAGCAGGTCCATGATGCTCACAATTGCACCTTGAGTTGCTTAGTTACCAGTGGGATCATGTGCATCTCCATTGAAATTTATTATTTGCTAATTTCTTACAACTATAATGAATTAAACTGGAGGATATGGGACCGTGAAGCAAAAGATTAAATTCTAATCGTCAGAAAAGGGCTGTAACTACAAAATCTGTACTACGAGTTAGGTTCAGTATTTATAGGTCTTAATTGTCATAGAAAGTTTAATCAGCTCTAGACACTGCTTAAAACAGATGTCAATAGCATGCAAATTCAAGAGTATTATGCCCAAAGTCTGAAAAGATGATGCACACTGTTCCGCATTTGCATATCATGGCCATATTACTGAATCAACCACATGCATTTGGAGTTTAGATTCTTTCATTTTCTTATGATGGTGAACTATATTTTATATTCGCAACAAAACATATATAATATCAAAAAACTAAGTCACCTGGTTAATGTCCTCGGGTTCCGAAGGGTTGTTATGCTCTAACCAATACAAGTCAAAGTGGCCTGACATTGGGGTAGTTGCAGAGGAGACTGGGGTCATGCTTCCATTAGAAGATGCCGGATTACTGGACCCAAGCTTCATAGCCAAAATGCTCCTCAAACTATTCGAAGCTGCAGTATGAGCATCATCGATGAAAGCCGTATCCATCTCATGAAGATCTTCAAACATCCCTTCCATACCTTTGTTATGCAAATCTTGTATTTTAGGTGAATGGCCTTCAGACCCATGTACAGAATTAGTACTTTGTACTCTAGAAATTTCAGGACTGCTACTTGATACACGCAAACTTTGATTATAGGACTCAACTATTTGTTCTAGAACCTCAGCAATATTCATTAGGCGTTCATCCACATTCAGACCTTCCAAATCACACTTGTCAGCATAAGCACATATGTAGGAATGGGATTCTAAATGAAAAGTCGGGACACTTTCCTCGCATATTCTGCAGAGAACGGAATCAATCACATCAAAAGATTCTTCCTGTTCACGATGCAAGTCTGAACTAGATTCGCACAGCACCGCTATAGGAGCTTTATTTTCAATTTCTTCAGAGTGTACCTTAGCATTGCCATCTCTGTCAGGAAGAACACTCCTAAGTCTGGGGGAATCAATACTTCCATCAGCAGAACATGAGATGCTCTCTGTGGAATGGATAACAGTCTAACAAAATGGAAATTGTTGTTAGGTTGTAATAAACAGTAAGCTACTGAGGAAAATCAACATGGTTCAGGAACGCATCAAATACCTTGCTGCCTTCTTTCACTGGATGTCTGGGGACACTCTCCAGTGCTGTCGAATCAGCACTATAGACTGATTTTACAGTCTTGCGACACCATTTCATATCAACATCTGGAACGCTTTCAAGACACTGCTTAAATCTGACAAGAGAGTCCTCATTCATTGATCCACTATCTTTCTCGAACTGCAACAGCCTGGTACAGCGTGTTAATATAAAAAGCATCCGTGTTAAAAGTTGCTTAATCAGTCCTGGCTGGCAATGCTGCCTCCTCTCAGCAAGGTTCTGGACAATACTCTCACAGTTCTCCCGGAAATAGGAAGATGTCATCTCAATGCATTCCAGGGAGAGACTGAGAAGATCTTCAGCTGTTTCCTGTGCTTTTGATAATGAACCCTTATCAAGTGCATCTCTAACATCCCCTGCAAATCCAGCAAGTTCTGCATTCACAGCTTCCTTCACAGCATCAAACCTGGAATCCAATGATCGCAGAAGATCCTGAATTGCCACCCATGTCAATTTTTATCGTACAACATTCAGGTCCAAGAATGAAGGAAAAGATCATAAGAAAAGCATATTTAACTGAACAAGTAAAAGAGGAAGGGTTGTGGAAAGCTAAATGGCTTTCGCAAGTGTTGGATAAACTACTAAATTATGAGACTTTTTTAAACCTAGTAATGACAAACAAAGTCGATTGTAAAATACCTTCAGATCACTGTAACTGCGGGGTCGGAGATTAGAAGCACGAATGCCGCCTATAGGCCCCAATTCATGTGAATAACTTTTTTGCGTTATTGATGCCTTCCTAGCTAAGCTGCTTTCTGGCAGTGACTGCTGTCTCAGCAGATCATTCTGGTCCAAAGAATGTTTAACTCTCTCAGGATCTTTCTTACCCAGCATCCTGACACTGATCCGCTTAACCTATTAAATCCGTTCGTGGTTGATGACTACATAATTAGACAAATGATGAAAGATTACTGAACTGACAGATAGAATCATAGCTTACCTCATTATTTGGAGGAACTCTATCACAAGCTTTATGGGAATCCTTGGGATTGAGATATGAAGTGAACCAACGAGCAATCTTCCTCCCTTTACGAGCTCCTGAATGAGGAAAATCAATATCATCACTGGGTCAGGGAAAAGCAAAACATGAGCATATCCTCTAAAACTAAGCTTACTGCACATAATAGTACCAGAATGTGAATTACACTGCAGATAAATTATAATGTCCTGGGAAAATAAGTTCTTAAAGACATTATGAACCTTAAGTTTTGATTAATGAAACTAAATTAATAATGATTACTAATGGCCTTAGTGCTTTGTTGATGCAGGTACTTTATTACATTGGATTATTACTTGCTCATGAGCTACTTCTAGCAGAATATGTTCAAAAGAGCAGTATTGATTGACAAAAGTCAAGATGGTTAGAAAAACTTCTGGACAAGAGTTGCAGGTGGCTTTAAACTTTTAAAGAGTTCAAAGGAGTGGGAGCTGTTGCTTTTCTCAATATGAGGCCTAGGTATTTTCTATGTAAGGCTTCTAAATAGTTAAGTAATGTTCTGGTACTATGATTCTTTATGAGGATAGCTTTTGGTTCTCATCTATTCCATAATTCTTCGAACCTATCTTCCATTCTACATGTTAGATCACAATCTTACCGGACCTTTCAAAAGCTGAGCTGCAGTGGATCTGTCTTTCCCACCCAGATCCATTCCAGCTGGAATGCTGACGTGAAAGTTCTTTCTGAACTTCAAGTGGGGCCGAGTTGCCATGGAATTTGACTTTTATCTTTAAACAAATCTAAGATTTTTTATCCTATATCTGTGAGACCTAGGACCTAGATTAGTATAGTATATATACATGTAGAAATATGGGAGAAATACTGAGTACCTTACTTCACCGAATTTATGGGATTTTCTTATGATTCTTCTGAACTTCTAGGAATTATTCGAGCGATCAAAGATAGGAATTAGCCTATGGACCAGAAGAGAAAGTTGATCATGTGGTTTTCATGAACCCAATGCATATTTCTTCCCAATTTCTGAGAAGTTCAAAATTTGACCATTTTACTTGGCCACTGGGCCTACTTGCAGTATGGCCGATTATAACCCTAATCCCAACCTATTTAAAAGTGTGAGATATGTAGAATTAGCGTTTCTTACAGATTTTTTAGAGCTAGTGTTCATAGGAGAGTAGCTGGGGCTTTCAGAGAGCATTCTACATCGACTCAAAGAAGAAAATCGTCAATCAGGTAAAGTTCTAATCTTGTTCATTGTATACAATATCAATATCCTTTTTGTTAATCCATTATCTGAGATCAAATCTCAAGTTTGATCTTCGTTTTCTTGCATTTTGAAGTTATTTTGATATAGTAAACTTGTATTTTCAGTAGATTTATTATTTACAATGTGATATATGGTGTCAAAGTCCAATACTTGTTGATATGTGGTATATGGTTTCATGTTGTATCTATTTTTATGCCAGAACACGTACAATCAAGTAAGGAATACTAATATACACTTAATATATGAAGGAGAATGCAGCAGGATGAGCGACGACGGGACAAGAGCAGCAGCCAGTCGATGCACTTCTAGTGGTGCACCACTAGTCAGACAGACCAGTGTATCACCAAAGTGGAGCAAACAGTCCGACCGAGCAGTACACCACCAGTAATGTTTGGTTGGTCCAACTGACTGGTGGACTGGTAGTGAAGAAAGGTCGATCCAACCGATCAGTGGACCAACAGTGAAAAAGGGTCAGTCCAACAATCTAAACCGTCTGAAAACATGTTTAGTTGTTTCTACACCGATCCATGATGTTTCTATGATGTAACTAAGACTCTCAAAACAGTATACAATATCCTTATGAGCAAATACAACTAGTGACATCTTTGATGACATCGGTTACAAAAGATAACCTAAACAACCAGGCAGTATATCGCGACGAACATTAACCAATTGGGCGGCAGGCATGTCTTTGACATGATAAGAAACTATGAAATTTAGAAAATGATGAAAAGATAGAATGAGGATGATATATACATTTGTGACAGTTATGTGAAGTACTATAGGCATTGAGATGGTGAACCAGTGCGTGATCTATGGACGACGAGATTGGTATGGATGCACGCCAAGGTTGTGTAAAGCAAATAATAAGCGAAGCAGCAAGGTGTCGCTTAGGCTTTTTGGACCTAAGGAGCTGTTTAGTTGGGAGTGCAAACCCTAAAAACGGGTTTCACCTCCACCCAAGAAATCCATTTCCCATAATGTTTTTTGTTTGTGTTGTTTGGCTGACAAAAGCTTTAGAAAATGATTATTTTTTCAATACCTTGAATTGACATCAGATCTGAAGACCAAATTTTCCAATCATTTTATTAGGGTATTAGTTTTCACATGAATACTTTTTCCTCCTCTTTCTTCTAGGAACAAAGTCAAATCTCCTTTGTCTTCTCTCTTGCGCCTCCATTTGTCCTCCTTGACCACTGTTCGAAGAAGAGAGTATTAGTTTAGTCCCACATTGCTTGTGAGACTAACTTGTAACTAATCCATCTCTATAAATAAAGTATAAAGTGAGGGGACAACTCTCCAATAATCTCTTTCTCTCCAAACTTTAACATGGTATAAGAGCCTCCTAAACCTTAAACCCTAACCCTAATTCTCGCCGCCACTTATTCTAACCCTAACCCTAATTCCTAAACCCTAGCCGCCGCCTCTCCTCATTGTTATCGAGGCGTAAGGCGCAATGCGGGGCACAAAGACCCCTTACGCGCACCATGCGCAAGGCGCACAACGATGCACGCGCCTCACTGAATTGAGACACGCAACTCAAACTAATATTTTTCAGCGTAAAACAAAGAAGCATATAAGCAACATGCTTATAAATTCACATAAAAAGATAAAGAAATATAATTTCACCTACTAAATCACGAAAGAGTCTTAATTAGCATGCATAACATAAAGAAGGTCATAAGTTTCCACAAATCACAATGCAAGATAATCTCCAAACATAAGCAAAAGTCTATGAAACAAAACAAGCAAGTAACAAATAAGAAATATGTATTTTTATTTAAAATATGATATATGTATTTTTAAGTAACAATTAGGTGATTAAAAAAATATGATTGTTCATAATTTTCTAGTTAGCATTCTTAATTGCTATTTGCTAGTTAGCATGAAAAGATGGAGATTGGAGGTAACAATTACATATTTACATGTTCATAAATTTCTAGTTAACACGCTAATTAGAGAAGGAAGTTACAATTAGCAAACAAGTATACTAAGGCTTCGTTTGGATACCATGGTGTTTTTCTTGTTGTGTTTTTGTAAAAAAAACACCATGATGTTGTGTTTTTCTCTTAAAATATTTTCAAAACATGATGTTTAGTATTTTTGGTCAACACTAGTTTGACCCATTATAACATTAGTATTAAACATATTATTACTATATTATATATTAATTATAATAAAATATATTATAAATAAAATGTTATAATATTTAGTTTACATTATTATAGTATTATAAGTATTAAATATAATGCAATATAATATTGTATAATGTATTATAATATTATATTGTACTTTAATAAGTTATATTTTATTATAATTATTAGTATAATATAATTATTATATATTATTTTCAAATAATTATATATCTAATTATTTTGGTATATCAATTTGTTATTGTTGTATATTATATTAATATTTTATAATAATGTTATTTTGTTATTAATATAATATTATAATATTATTAATATAATATAATATTATACTATTATTCATATAATATAATATAATCAATAATGTTAATATTATGTTATTACTAGTATGTTATTAATAAATTAATATATTATACATATTTTAATATTATATATATATTATAGTTTTTTATATGTTAGAGTTTATTAATAGTACTTTAATAATATATTAGTATTTATGATATAAATATTACTATTATATAATATTTTATAATTATTAATTTATTACAATTTATTTATTAAAAGTTAATAATATTTTAGCAATTATACTATTGTATAGTATATTATTATATTATTATTTATTATCAATACCTTTTTTATTATTTTTTATTAGTTTATTTATATTTTATTATTATTTATTTATTATATAAAACATTATTAACATGTTAAATATTGGTACTTAATATGTTATTATATTATTATATAATATGTTTTATTTATTATATTTTTATATTATTTAATAATATTACTAATATATTAAATTGACTATAATATAGTATAGTATAGTATAATATAACAAGCATGTTGATAATAACTCTATATAATTACATTTAATATATTATGTTAGATATTATATTAACATATTCTCAAACTCAAAACCAAAACACCTAAAATGTGTTTTGAAATAAGTATTGTGTTTTTTGTTTGAGAATATTTTAGCTCAAAAAACACGTTTCCAAACGCATGGTGTTTTGTTTTTGACAAAATACCATCGAAATAAGTAAAACATCATGGTATCCAAACAGAGCCTAAATTATAATTATTGTTTTCTTTTTATAGGTTAAACATGAAAAGATGGAGAATGGATTAGCAACTAGTAAGAAAGAGTCTATTACATGATGTAAATATATAATATGTAAATTATTTAAAAAAATAGAAGAAAGAGTCTATTACATGATGCAAGTGTCAAGCGCGCGCGTGCCTCGTATGCGTGCAGCGCCCCGCCTCTGGTGCGGGGCGCAATTGTCCCAGCCCGCAGCGCCCCGCGCCCGGGGCGCGCGCCTCGATAACAATGTGCCAGCCCGTAGCGCTACGCACCCGGAGCGCGTGCCTCGATAACAATGCCTCTCCTCTCTCGAAACCCTAGCCGCCTACTCTTCTCTCTCTTAAAACCCTAGCCGTCGCTAGGCCTGTCCATCCGGCCCGGCCCGAAAATCCGGGCCTGGGCCGGGCAAAACCGGGACCCGGACCCGGGTACACCGGGCCGGGTCCGGTCCCGGGCCCGGGCCCGACCGAGCCGGGTTCCGGGCTGGCCCGGGTGATTTTCCTTTTTTTTTTATTTTTTTCCAAAATTTTTTAATGTTATTTAACTTATAAATTATAAAAAAAAGACAAGAAAAATAACAAA